ATATATTAACATATTTTCAGATTGTGTAGTGGATGGATGAATGGTTGGACGGATAAAATGATGGCTGGAGGGATTGTTGGATGGATGGATGTTAGATGGTTTACTGGATGGATGAATGGATGGATGGATGGATTCATTAGACCAGGCCGATTGATTTGATGTCTCATATGTGTGGGTGTGTACTTCCATTTAGCCAGAAGATGATTTAACCCTCTCAGCTAATCAGAGACCTGGGACGGGGTTGGGTGGTTTCCCGCCTTCTGACGGTCAATAAATGTAAGTTATGTTTCTAGTTTAACGTACAGAAAGGTCAGAAAGATCAGACACAGCAGTTTGTTATTGGCTGGATATTTAACTTTTTATATTCATTCCTATAAGACTTGGTTAGAGTCATCCTAAGTTCCCTGTGTTGCCATAGTAACAGATAACAGGAGTCAATGTCATGGTCCGTGGTGAGCTGACTGCCTGTAACCTGGCTTTTTCCCTCTGAGCATTGTTTCCACAGGTTGCCGTTTGGAGTTCTCACTGTTAAACCAATTGCCTTCGCTCTGCTTCACCTTCCAGTTCTGCACCTACCCCCGATCCACCGGTTCCTCCCGACTTGTCAGGAGTACCAGAGGAGTACCACGACCTCTCCCTCGTCTTCAGTAAGGACCGTGCCTCCTCTTTGCCCCCTCACCGACCGTATGATTGCGCCATTGACCTCCTGCCTGGCGCCACGCTACCATCCAGCAGGTTGTATAATCTGTCGAAACCTGAACAAATCAGTATGTCCACCTACATACAAGAATCATTAGCCTCCGGTTTAATCAGACCATCCACTTTACCCCTGGGCGCAGGTTTTTTCTTTGTATCTAAGAAAGATGGTTACCTGAGGCCCTGTATTGATTACAGAGGTCTCAATCAGATCACAGTTAAGAACAGATATCCACTCCCGTTACTTTCCTCTACGTTTGAACCTGTACAAGACGCCACTATCTTTACTAAACTGGACCTGCGCAATGCCTATCATCTCGTTCGTGTTAAAGAAGGTGATGAATGGAAAACCGCTTTCAAAACTCCTTTAGGTCATTTCGAATACCTGGTCATGCCTTTCGGTCTCACAAATGCCCTCAGTCCCTGGTCAACTCAGTCCTCGGAGACTACCTCAACCAGTTCGCTACGGTATATCTGGATGACATATTAATCTTTTCCAAATCCCCAACAGAACACCGCCAACACGTCAGAGCCGTTCTTCAACGCCTCCTGGAGAACCTCTCCTGGCCTACTCCCACTACACGTAAGCAACTGCAACGTTTTCTGGGTTTTGCTAATTTTTACCGCCGATTCATTAAGGATTACAGTCAGACTGCTGCTCCACTCACTCAACTTACTTCCATAAACAAACCTTTTATCTGGTCTCCCGCTGCTGAAAAGTCATTTCAGAACTTAAAAACCAAGTTTACCCGAGCACCTATTCTTACTCGTCCCGACACCTCCGCCCAGTTTACCCTGGAGGTTGACGCCTCAGACTCTGGTGTCGGTGTGGTTCTCTCACAAGTCTCTCCCTCAGATCACCGTCTCCATCCATGCGCCTTCTTCTCTCGACGCCTCTCACCTACCGAGCAGAATTATGACATCGGGGATCGGGAACTACTGGCCATTAAATTGGCTCTGGAGGAGTGGCGGCATTGGCTGGAGGGAGCAGAACACCCCATCATTATCTGGACCGATCATAAGAACCTGGCATACTTGAAGGAAGCAAAGAGACTAAACCCCCGACAGTCCCACTGGTCCCTATTCTTTTCCCGTTTCCATTTCCTTATCTCTTACAGACCCGGTTCAAAGAACACCAAGCCAGACGCTCTATCCCATTTGTACTCACCTGACAAGGACCCAGAACTCACCCCAATCCTGCCACCATCCTGCATCGTGGGCGCTGTAGCCAGGGACATCACCAGAAAGGTGCAGCAGGCCCAACAAACTGAACCAGATCCAGGTACCGGCCCTCCTCATAAAATGTACGTTCCAACCAGGGTTCGTGGTGGCCTGATCCATTGGGCCCACACTGCAAAATTCTCAGTTCACCCTGGGGTCGGTCGAACCCTGGCTCTCATCCGCAGAACCTTCTGGTGGCCATCCATGTTTAAAGATGTCCGTGAATACATAAACGCCTGTTCCATCTGTGCCCGTAACAAATCAAGTAACCAACCTCCAGCTGGACTCCTCAACCCTCTGCCTGTACCCACTCGCCCTTGGTCTCACATAGCTTTAGACTTCATTACTGGTTTATCCCCCTCTAATGGTTTTTCTGTCATCCTCACAGTAGTTGATCGTTTTTCTAAATCCTGTCACCTGGTGCCTCTCAAAGCACTCCCGTCCTCTGCCGAAACCGCCCAACTTCTGATCAAACATGTTTTCCGTCTGCATGGCATTCCTTCTGGAATACTGTCTGACCATGGCCCCCAATTCCTGTCCCGCATTTGGAAGGAGTTCACTGACCACCTGGGGGCTCGTGTCGCTCTGAGCTCTGGATTCCACCCTCAGACTAATGGACAATGTGAAAGGATGAATCAAGAGCTTGAGGCCATGCTAAGGTGTGTCTGTTCGTCCAACCCCTCTGGTTGGAGTTCCCAACTTCCCTGGGTGGAGTATGCCCATAACGCTCATACATCTACGTCCACTGGCCTGTCTCCATTTGAAACCATTCTCGGCTACCAGCCTCCTCTTTTTCCGTCTACCCAAGATCCTCCTGTTTCCGCTCCCCAGTTCATTCGCCATGCCAGGCGCACCAGGGCCCAGACCACGGCGGCTCTGCAGAGGACTGCAGACCGTAACCGCCGCCTTGCGGATCGACACCGACGACCAGCTCCGGTGTATACCCCTGGGTAGAAGGTCTGGCTATCCACCAGGGACTTCCGCCTGAAGGACACCAGCAGGAAGCTGGCTCCTCGGTTCATCGGTCCATACCCCATTGTTGATATTATCAGTCCGTCCACCGTCCGTTTGGCTCTGCCCCCATCCATGAGGGTCCACCCTGTATTCCATGTCTCCCTGATTAAACCTGTCCTTGCTAGCCCCCTGTGTCCTGCTCCTCCTCCGCCTGCCAGGCTCGTCGGAGGTGGTCTGGTTTACCCTGTCCGTCGCCTACTTGATGTCCGCCTCCGGGGCCGTGGCTTCCAGTACCTAGTGGACTGGTAGGGTTACGGTCCCGAGGATCGCTCCTGGGTTCCCCGCTCATTCATCACAGACCCAGACCTCATCAGGGACTTCGAGGCCTCTCAGGCTTCCTCCTCCTCCGCCTCCTCCTCCTCTGCCCGGCCGCCGGGTGGCGTCCGTTGGGGGGGGGTACTGTCATGGTCCGTGGTGAGCTGACTGCCTGTAACCTGGCTTTTTCCTCTGAGCATTGTTTCCACAGGTGGGCGTGTCTGAGAGCTCCAGCTGCTGCTGATCTTCTCATCAAGGCCCAGGGGATTTAAGGAGCAGTGCGACACTTCACCACGCTGGATGATTACACTATTTGGGTAGCTCTAGCCTCAACCTAACATTGATACCAGTATTTGTGCTTTTGTGAACCTGTCGCTTGAAAACTCCTTAATGCCCTTACCTGCTCTCCTCCAGGTTCCTCTCAATCCCTCACCAGCTCCAGAACAAACCCGGATCTCAGTCTACCTGACGCACTGCTTCATCCCCTGGCCGCCCGCTCTCAGCCGCTCACCTACCAACATCCATTCCTGCTCCTCCACCTCTGGACAACCTATACCTTACCTTTGGATCTCCTCAGCTCACCCGGACCAGACAATCCTTCCTGTACAATTACCACTACCAAGTAATAGTAAGACCAGTCTCCAGATAAGTTCCCATTTGTTTCCCGCCTTATATTCACTCTGTCTCTCTCCTTAGAATCCCATCCTGGATTCCTGCTGCCAATCCTGCATCTCGTTGGTTCCTGTCTCTTACTTTCTCCTTATTAAGTAATAAAAGCCTTTTACTTACATCCCTGCTCTCCGTGTTGTGATTCTGCATGCCATGGGTCAAGAAATTGCCTCCCAGCATGATAGTCAGCTTTAAAATAGTGATGTCCAATTTCACATGACTCTTAAATTTTGAATAATGTTTCTACTTTCAGCATTCAAACAATGATAATAATAATAATGATGATGATGATGATGATGATGATGATAATGTTAACCTACACTCTCTGTACTTTCAGCTGCAAAGCGCCACAAAGGCTTGCGCCGTGCAGAGATCATTTTGGCGTGAGCTCGATTTTTTCGTGAGCCGTGTCAGTTCTGGCAGGAAGTCAAACCAAAGCAGAGAAGGCAGGCTGGTAAATTTAACAAAATAAAAGAAACATTTCTAAATCAAAACCGCGATTGATAAATGTGATAATTTTTGTGTATCTAAACAGACTAGATGAGAGAGATATAAGGACCCACCTTTCGTCAAACTTTTTGACAGGTCTATTGTTCTTTGACCTAATGACCCTACAGGTGTATTGTTCTTTGACCTCATGACCTTGCCCCCCCCCCAGCATGAATCAGATTGACAGGTGTATTGTTCATTGACCTAGCCCACACCCTAAATCAGATTGGCAGGTGTATTGTTCATGGACCTAGCCTCCCACCCTAGCATAAATCAGATTGGCGGGTGTATTGTCAGTAGTCTCTTTTGTGAAGATCTATATGTTAAGAAATGAATGTGGTGTAATGGCGCATGAGGCGCATACACCTCAAAATATTCTGTGAATGATACCAAGTGACAATTAATGTGACAGTGTTGTGAATGTGATATTTCCCATTTCAGTGTCATTGACTCAAAAGTTTATTTTTTATATAAATTTTTATTCAGAAAAATAAGTTTATCCAATGTTTTGGCATTTAGTCTGTTACGTTTTTTGGACACTATTTCACCAGCTCTCGAAAACACGCGTTCACAGGGCACAGAAGAAGCTGGGGTACACAAAAACTGTTAAGCCAGGTGGAAAAGGTGTGGGTAGGATGTCTTCCGGTTCCCCCAGTATGTTAATGGAACTTCTTGTCTTGAAATGTTTCCCTCTGCTAGGTAGTGCTGGACCTCAATGATCGAGTCAGCTGTTGCATTGGTGGTTTGTCTGCCAACCTCTTGATCAAGCTGCTGCCACAGATTATCTGAAATAATAAAAATACATAGAAGTTTTAGTTTTTGTCTTCTACTCTGTATTAATACACATTAGCAACAACACAAATGTGAAAATAAACTGATAATACTGAACAACTTGCCTGAAGTGGGTAACTGCTCTGATGAAGGTCCAAGCTGTGGCTCAGATGTTGTGTGTCCAATTACTGCAGCACACTCCATTTTCAGGCGATTGACAGCCTCACTACACCTGGAGGAACTACGAAATCCGAGTGTTTTAAATCTGGGGTCTAAAAGTGTTGATAGGGTCAACACACTTAATGACTCCAGATTAGAAGCAGTGTCTGTGACGCGACATCCAAGTTGGTCATGGAGATGTGTGGCTGCTTGTGTGTGTAGATGTAAAGAGTTCCACTCAAGTGCACAATTTAGCATTTTCATCATCGGGATGACCTTTGATTCTGAAACTCTCCTCTCCTCAGACAACTCCACTGTGGCCTGATGGAAAGGGGCCAGCACAAGAAGTGCTTCCCTTAAGATGAGCTCATCAGCTGTGAGTGGAGTTAAATCTGTTTAGAGAGAGGCAAGAGATACCCACACTGCTTCTTTCTCATCATGTAGCCGTGGCAGCATCTGATATGTGCTATTCCAACATGTTGGTACCTCATTGACAAGTTTCAAGGTGGGCCGTCCCATCTGTTGCTGCACTTGAGCAAGCTTCTCTTTTGCTGTGGTGCTGGATCTGAAGAATGATACGATTTGCCTAGATTTGTGTTTTATGGATGAAAGTTCAGGGATCTGATCACAGGATGTTTTTGACTATTAAATTTAGTTTGTGTGCAATGCAGATTAAATGTCGAATTTGAAGAGTTCCTGTTGCTGCTATCATCTTTGGTGCTGCGTCGGTCACAAGACACCATACCTTATTTGTTATGGCCCAGTCATCCATCATGCCCCTTTTGACTTGGGCCAGATTGTCAGCAGTGTGACTTGGTGGAAAGTGTTTGACTCCCAACACAGATGTACACAACTGCATATTGCCATTGATGTAGTGACAGGTAAGAGCTTAGTAAGCCTCCATGTTCAAGGAGGTCCACATGTCAGCTGTTATACTCACTGCCACAGCTTGCTGTACTTCCCTTTTTACTCGTTCGAGTTCCTCCGCATGCTTTTTGGCCTTCATTTCCTTAACCGTCTGAAAATGAATCAAAATCAAATCAGTCTAGTACTCAATACATTAATTAGACCACCTGCCATTAAAGCAAGAAAAACATCCAGCTATGAAGTTCTCTGTGTTTTGCCCTGTTGAATAGAAGGTAGGAATTTAAAACTGAATCCAGTTTTATACCCAAATGTGAGCTGACACACTGGACGGAAATTATTCAAGCATGCATGATATTTGAATCACAAGTGTTTATTTTTATTTGCTGTGTCATAAACCTTAAATCAGACGATGGTCTAATACATTTGTTAAGCACTGTATATATTAAATTAGTAACAGCAGCTATCTGAGACATTGTGTATACAAACCTTTCTGGTTGGCAAAACGTAAGATGGATCAAGGACCTGAATCAACCCCCAGAACCCCTCACTCTCCACAATGCTCAGGGGTTGGCAGTCCTTTATAATAAAATTCAGGACTGCTTGGTCCAGAGGAATCTTCCTGGATTCTAGATTTCAAAATAATAAAACATATATTAGTAAAACAACTGTGACAAAGCATGCCCAGTGTCTATATAGGTCTACCTGTGTTCGTTCTTGGTGTATTTGCTTCCTCTTCGTTTTCATGCTTGACTCTGTAATGTCTCAGCATTGAGGAAGTGCTCTTATTTGTATAAGACAACTCCGCTGAGCATATCGACATTTAACCTAAATAAAATTAAATAAATTATTTACACTGAGAGTCAGTCACATTGATGTTTTCAACTCTGACAGATGCGCAGAAACAAGGAAAGAAAAACACGTACCTTATTTGCAGTTAAAAGATCAAAATGATCCCACACAGCAGAAACTTGTCTTGTTTTATCTTTGAAATGGTAATTTTTTCACGGCGACTCATTCCGTTGACAGGTGCAGAGTCAATACCTTATAAACACAGTTTGGCGCCTTGGCAATGAGCGACACAGCAGCAGTGTTGGTCACGTGACTTTTTCTTAAAGCAACACAAGCATTGACACAGGTTTCGCTCCATGAGCTTGACACATGCGCCGGTGTGTCGGTGTTGCTGGACCCATCACTAATTTTTTGTTACGCTTGATAACTGTTTTGTGTTAGCCTTTCCCTTTCACACGTGAGACCCTTTTGTCAAGATGTATATTGTTGATCTGCACTGCTTAGAGTCAAGATAACTCTTTTGTGTTAGCCTCACAGTTCCCACCCTCAATCCCCACCAGCCCTGCTTGGCTTTTTAAAAGCTCAGATTCATTTCAACGGACAGACTGAGATTGTGTCAGAATGGTGAAAGGCCAAAGAAATACCTCTAAGAAAATGGTGAAGCAAGAGTCTACCCAAGAGGAGAAGGAGGTGAGGCAAGGGGAGATGATGAAGCACCAACCTCTACCCAAGAGGAGAAGGAGGTGAAAGAGGGCAGCCAAGAGGAGATGGAAGAAGTGTCTACAACCGATGCTTCAACTTCTACCCAAAAGGTGAAAGAAGAGAGCGTGAACATGCCATCACCACTATCACAAACCTTGCTTTGTGAAAAATCCATAGCGATCAATCAGCTGCCTGCAGGGGGTGGTGCTTCCCGCAAATCTACATTCTACATATGTAGAGTGCAGGTTCCTCCTTTTGGCGGTAAAGAGATCTTGGAGCAAATATGGTAGCTGGAACCTTACGGCTATACCGGTAGTTTTGGGTACCGGTTTAGCTATGACACTAAGGAGCTGTGTCTAATCCAAGATGTGGCTGAGGACGAACCTCTCAAGCCATATTTATTACATTCACCAGCGGTTCTCTCCTACAACGACTGGGCAGTGCTCAAGCTCGCTGTTCCACGCAGGGTGTACAGAGATGATCGTGAGAGAACTCGTCCACCTGTAAAACGCAACAGGCTGCAAGCTCTTCCAACACTGGATGAAATCCAGAATGCTGTGATAGCATTCAGCGCTTCATGGGAGGGGCAGGAGCATGTGGATAGGGAGTGGATGTTCAAGGCCTCGGTCCGTGAGAGAGGATTTGAGCTCTTTTTTGTGCTGGAAAATGTGCATTCTGTATGCAGAATTTACCTCCTTCTACAGGTTGTACCTTTCAAGGCCTGGTGTGAAAAAATAGATGAAGTGGAGGATCGTATTTCTTCACTTTTTCGTACCAATCGCTGCTGGAAAGACATTCTGACATTGCGAAAAAAATCTGGAATTCTAAGACCCGCCTCAGGAGGAGGAGGAGGAGGAGGAGGAGGAGGAGGAGGAGGAGGAGGAGGAGCGGTCGCATCATCAAACCACGCCCCCACCCAGCACTAGTTATAAATAGCTTACAGTTAGAAACCATTTCATCCAGACGATCTAGCGCATCAGCATGATGTTTTTTTTGTAGTGATGTTTATTTGACATGGACACAGCAATTACATTGGACGAACCAGATGCATTGTTTAGTGTGTTAGCACACGTGCTAATTTGCAACACTTGTCCATAGAACCTTTCTAAAAAGTAGAGTACATTTAAATAAAATACAAAGAGATCAACAATAAATCAAACAGAAACCAGATTAAAATTGCAAACAATTTTCAATAAAAAAGAATAAAAATAATAAAACAAGGCAATTTGAGCAGCAATGTAAGACTTTAAAACTATTCATGTAGACATTGTTGTTTAGACTTTAACCACTTTTGAGTTCTTTGTTAAAAACTTTACTGTCCGTTTCTAGTTTTAGGTCAGCAGGTAGAGAGTTCCAAAGTTTGGCCCCCTTTACAGAAAGAGCAGACTGACCAAAAGAAGTCTTGCACCGCGGGACGAGACAATTGCCGCAGGTGGAGGCTCGAGTGATTGTTCTATGAGAGCTCTGACGTCTGATGGCCACAGTAGAGAATAGCTTAGACAAGTTATCATTTAGACAATTGAGAAAGAATCTTAGAGTGCTAAAATTAATAAAATTTTCAAAAATGAGAAGATTATGTTTCCTTAAAATGTGACAATGATGTCATTTCAATGGTTTTTGGTCCATAATTTTTATTGCTTGCTTGTATATTAAGACTATAGGTTTTAGAGTGGTGGATGAAGCCTGTGACCATGATGTAATGCAATATGATAAGTGGGGAAAGATCAGTGCATGCATGTACAGTTTAGCAGTTTTGTGTGACAGGTTCCATCTGAGAAAACGGAAGCAGTTTAAATTTGTTTTAACCTTATTACAGACGTGCTTAACCTGACTGTCAAATTTTAGGTGTTTGTCTAGGATGATCCCAAGGTACTTCACATCACTTCTTACTTCAATGATTTCCTCTTTAATCCTAACCTGAAATAGTTCCTGATCAGGCCTGTTTCTCATGGAGAAGCATATGGGCACAGTTTTTTTAACATTAAGAGTTAGGTGGGATGACTCTAGCCATTCTGAGATGTCTGATAAAGCCTGCGTCAGGCGCTCTCCTGCCAGGCCAGGTGTTTTTGTGGACACATAAATGACGGTGTCATCAGCATACATCTGGCAGTTGACACCTGAGCAGCTCATCGGAAGGTCATTAATGTACATTGTAAACAGCAATGGACCAAGCACGGATCCTTGTGGTACACCCATGTTTTTTGCAAGCAAACTTGACTTGACCTCATCAACCCTAACAGACTGCTGTCTACCCTCCAGGTATGAACGGAACCATTTCAAAGCTCCAGGTGATATTTTAAATTGCATCAGTTTGTTAAGTAAGACGCTATGGTTTACTGTGTCAAAAGCCTTTTTTAGATCCAGAAACACTGCCCCTACAACACATCCTTTATCCAGAGAAGTTTTGATATTTTCAAGCAGATAACAATTTGCAGATTCTGTGGAGTATTTCTGACTAAAGCCAAACTGCTGTGAATAAAGCAGTTGGTTGGACTCTAAGTGATCCATTAGTTGCTCAGCTACAATCTTTTCTAGGATTTTTGAGACTATTGGGAGGATGGCAATAGGCCTGTAGTTACTTGCTAAGTCCTTTTCTCCCGATGTGTAGACTGGAGCAATTATTGCAGTTTTCCAGCTTTCTGGGAATCTCTTTGTTTGAATTGATAAGTTTACTAAATATGTGATTGGCTCCAACATATAACTGTGATGTTTCTTAATAAATGTAGTATTTAAGTTATGGATATCCTTGGACATTGAAATCTGCATGTTTGCAATCACTTTTTTTTTACTTTATCCTGGGATACTTCTTTTATATAGAAGGAGTTGGTGTGATCGTTATCAAATTTGTTACAGGGTGGGTCATTTGATTTAAAACGACTGGCTAAATCATTCACAGACTCAATAAAAAAATTGTTGAAACCATTTGCAATTGACTCATTACTATTAATGAGTTCATCACATATTTTAAGGCTATTTATTTTTGGGTGCTTTTGCTTGCTAGACTTGGTTAGTCTGTTTATATGTTGCCACAGTTTAGAACTGTTGCCATTTGCCTCTTCAATCAGGTTATTAAAATAATTAGTCTTTGCTTTCCGCAGCTCAGACACTACTTTATTTCTTAGTCCTGTGTAAATTAAATGGTCAGTATTGGTTTTAGTCCTTAAGGATCTTTTCAGAGCAAAATCTCGCTCTTTGATCAGCTGACTGATATCACTGTTGAACCAAGGAAGAGACTTTTTCTTAGTTTTTTTTCCAGGTTCTTGTGTGCTTACCAATTATACCATGAAGGGTCAAGACAAAACTGCTTGCACTATGGTCTGGATCAGGCTCTCTGATTACCCTGTCCTAATTAGCTGTCTTTAGATCATGTTCAAAGTCAACCATTTTTGACGTGGGAATTCCAGTAGTTAAAGTATAATTTTCTGTTTTGTTATGATAAACTAGACGCTTATTTGTTCGCTTTCTTATGACCAGTATCATATTATGATCTGAAAGACCAGTAATAAGATTGTATATTTTTGTTACTCTCTCTGGCCTGTTTGTGATCAGGTCTATCAGGTGGTGTGGAAAGGTTTAGAACCAGTTTACAACAAGAGATTGGGGATAAAGTTTCAATGGATAAGGTTCGTGATTTTCTCTCAGAACAAGATATTTACACACTCCACAAACCTGCAAGAGTTCATTTTCTGAGAAATAAGGTTTTTGTCTCAGGGTCACTAAAGCAGTTTCAAGCTGACTTACCGGTATGTGACATGCAGGCCTTGTCAAAATCAAACGACAGTTTTAATTACCTATTAACCGTCAAGATGTATTTTCAAAGAAAGCCTATGTACGAGCCCTGAAAAACAAATCGGGGAAAGATGTTACAGAAGATTTTGCTTCAGTTTTGAAAGACAGCGGTATACCGAAAAAATTGCAAACGGATTCCGTTAAAGAATTTTTTAATAAGAAATTTGAAGCCCTCATGAAGAAACACAGAATTGTGCATTTTGCCACAGCCAACAGCGTAAAGGCCAGCATTGTGGAGAGATTTAACAGGACTCTAAAAGGTAGAATGTGGAGATATATCACAGCAAAAAACACCCATTGCTACATAGATTTGATTCA